TTAGAGCCATTTGGGCCAGTGGACAGAGTAACATTGTTTCATGACAATGACCAACTATGTGACTTCCCAATTCTCAGGTTTGACTATGAGCATTAACTTAATAAAGCTATTAAGAATGGAAAAATGTAATGTCCTGTTCTCCAGGCTAACTGGCTGTGACACATCACATGATAAAGTAGTTCTATAAAGGATTACCATCAGTCTGAAAGGATTTCAACCAACTAGATGGACCCAACAATATGGCTGACAGCAAGAAGGGCTCAAATTCTGATTCTGAGAGTCTGAGTAACAGCTCAGGCCTCTGTGGCTCAGTTGGTTGAGCATCATCCTATGCACTGATATGTCGCCAATTCAACTGTCCTGATCGATTTCTGGTCAGGGCACATACCTAGATTGCAGGTTTAATCCCTGGGTTAGGGTGAGTACGGGAGGCAACCAATCGATGTTTCTCTCTCATAGTGATGTTTCTCCCTCCCTCTCTCTCTCTCAAATCAATAGAAATATATTTAAAAAAATAAAATAAAAACTAAAAATGCATTATCTACCACACTGAGAAACTTAGATGATATTTTATGAACCCACAGAGGAAGCCATTTTCTCCTATACTTAAGAGATGAAAAACAAGAAATGGAATCATCTAGAAAAATGAGTTCCTTAGAGCAGCGGTTGCCACCCTTTCAGACCTCACGGACCACCAGTTAGCGACCTCCCCCTTAGAGATCAAATTTCAGAAAGTGATCAAGGTTGGTGGCTTAGAGTCAAATTAAGCAAATAGAGATTAAATAACCCACCCCAGATCCAACTTTATATATTAAAAACAACAATAACAACCTAAGATGAACAAACTAAGGTTCCACAAAACAAAACAAAAAACCCAAAACATCTTTAGACACACTTTGGGATTCTTAACTGATTTTATCAGTTTTATCTACAAGACCTTAAGGACAGCTGAAAACAGTGCCATTTGCCATTGTGCTGATCAGACACCAGTAACAAAGTCAGCCTTCTGTGATCCTTAAAAATCCTTTTGTTTATGCTGCTTTGAGTGAGGTTTTTAAGATGGGTGGCCGTGCCCTAGCTGGTTTGGCTCAGTGGATAGAGCATCAGCCCACAGACTGAAGGGTCCCGGGCTAGATTCCAGTCAAGGGCATGTACCTCGGTTGTAGGCTGGATCCTGGGCCCTGGTCAGGGTGAGAGCAGAGGCAACCAATCGATGTGTCTCTCTCACATCAATGTTTCTCTGTCTCTCCCTCCCACTCTCGCTAAAAATCAACATAAAAACATCCACAGGTGAGAATTAACAACAAAAGAGATTGGTGGCCATGCTGACTAGAGTCGACTCTACGGATTTCCCCATAATAGTCTTCTTGCTTTTTCGGGGTCTCTTCACCAACACTGACTGACTCTTTACCACCCCTACAAGTCTGTGTTCTAAGGAAGAAGGAGTGGAGCAGTGGTTCCCAAACTTATTTGGCCTACCGCCCCCTTTCCAGAAAAAATATTACTCAGCCCCTGGAAATTAATTTTTTTTTAATTTTAATAGCAGTTACTCATCGCCCCCAAATGCACCTGTGGCCATCACCGCCCCCCTGGATCGCTGCAGCGCCTACCAGGGGGCGGTAGCACCCACTTTGGGAATCACTGGAGTGGAGGGAGCTGAGAAGTTACAGTTGCCTACCTACTGCCATCATTTCCTAAAATGACTAAATTGACCAGACTACTAACTAGGTGTGAACAACGAAAGCTACCAAAATGGCCTCAACACACTGGTGATTAACCCAGCCACCAACACAACCCAATGTACAGTACTCATCACTGAATACCTCTAATGGTATTTGATATTGAAAAGGATCAAAATTCTGCACCAGAAGTTACAAGACCTAGTTAGTGGCCCCACTCACTCAGCCTCTAACCACCACCTAGGGGCATCGTGTCCGAGGATGAAAAGGGGCTGGATTAGAAACACCATCAGCACTAGCATGCTGGGATTTGGGGAGATACTCACTCTGCGGACAGGCGTGAGGGTGGGGGAGGTACTGGGACTGTTGTGCTGATTTTCGGAAGCACACCGCCCTTCAGGTGAGCTGGTAGGAGAGGAAGAACTCAGGGAGGAATGGCTGAGAACAGAGTCTTCTCCGTGGCTAGACTCTAGCACTTCCCTCCGGGAGGGCGTGTCCCGGTCCAGAGGGATGGTTGGAGACTTGGCTCCAGGTTTTATACCCAGGATATCCTGCAAGAGCACCACGGGCACCTTCCCTTTGAACAAGATGCCTCCAGCTTCGCTCCAACTGTCCTGGTCCTTCTCTGAGCACGTTCTCGGACCATCTGTCAACTTGGGGCAGCTCTGAGATGCTTCCTGTGCGTCTCCTCTCCTCTCTGTGCCCCCTGAGCCAGCACCCTCCTCCTCTGTTTTGCATGGAATGTCTAAAAGGGTCTCTTCAGAAAACGTTAGCTCGTCCTTCTGACTAGCCTTTGGCAGCCCCCCCTCATCTCCAGCTTCTTCTCTGACCCTATTTACAGCCTCCTCCAAGGAGGGACAGGCTGCAGAATTTAGTTTATTGTAGGCTGAAATGTTGTCTGGTTGGTCACTTGAGTCCTCTGTCAAATCAATGATGACTGTGGTCTCGCCAATACTGGTTTTGACTCTACTTTTTAAAAAGTTATCTAAGGGACCCTTCCCATTGACAAGTTTTGGTCTAAAATCTATGTCAGAACCCATATGAAAATTGTTCTCCAAGTTGTCCAAAGAGGTTTCCACATCGGGGACTTGACTTTGTGCAGGAGCACTGGGAGAGCTTCCTGTGCTGTCCGCTCCGTCCTCGGTTTTCTCCTTTGGGGCAAGATTCAGGCGCTTGAAGGGCAGACGAGCTGAAATAAAAGACAGAAGGAGACCATCCATACAGCGAAAGTGTGCAGAGTGACAACTGATCAATACTTGAACATTCCATATGCTCAAAATGACCCAACCTTCCTTGCGGGGCCTGGGGTGTGTGTGTGTGTGTGTGTGTGTGTGTGTGTGTGTGTGTGTGTGTGTGTCTCTTTTTGTGTGTGTGTCTTTTCATAATTTAACAGTCTATAAAGCAATTATGCCCGTGGGTCCTATGGTTTGCCCCTAATCTTTTAACCTCAGGAGACTATTACCCTAAACACAATTCCTACCACCAAACTTGTTATCAGTTGTCAGAGGAGAAAGCAAATTGTTACAGGAGGAAACTATATACCAAATTTTAAAAACCAGAAACCATGGTTTTTAATACAATCCAGCCATTAATCTGGCCTCAGTGTAAATGCACTCCTTTTTTACACAAAAGGATTTGGGGACATTTATCTTCCTGTACAACAATAGTTCAACTGGGGCAGCTGTGCCCTCTAGGGCAGCGGTCGCCAACCGGTGGTCCGAGGATCACTGGTGGTCCACGAGGTCCAAAAGGTTGGCGACCGCTGCTCTAGGGAACATCTAGCAATGTCTGGTTGTCACGACTTGGGGGAAGAGATCAGGGATGCTGCTAAACTCTACAATATACAGGACAGTCCCCCACCCCTGAAAAATTACAAAATGTCAATGGGGGGAAGTAAAGAAAGGCTGCTGTAAAGGCAGTGACCTCTGATTTGTTCCTGGGAACCTAGGGAAACTGGTATAATAAAATGGATCCCCAGGCTTCCAAATGTAAAGTGCAACTGTTTTTCTCCCCGCCAGCAACTGTGATACTACTGCTACAGAGGACCTCTGCTCAAGGGGAATGAAGAACTATAACTGGGGAGACAATGAAGGATATAAATTAGGAACAAATATTAACCCATTCCCAGAAAGTTACCTTGTATTAACTTCTTGACTGGAAAAGCTGGTCTGTCTTTGCAATCCATTACTGTGAATAAAAGTGTCAAAGGATACGTTATTAAATGCTGGAAATAATGAAAGTAAACCCATAAGTCGCACCTACTATGTACAAAGTGGTTATCCAGTGGGAGTGACTTTGCCACCCTCACCCTGAAGAGCTGGTAATGTCTAGGGACACTTTTGGTTGCCATGACTTGGGGGAAGGTTGCCACTCGCATCTAGTGGGTAGAAGAGAGAGATGCTGCTGAATATCCTACAATACACAGGATGGCCCACCACAACTAATTATATGGCCCAAAATGTTAATAAGTTAAGAAATCCTGCCTGTACACTGTCACACCTTCTTGGTTTATTTTCCTTGTGACATTAATCGCTCTGAAATTTACACTGTTGAACATGTCTCCTCCTACAGAATGCCAGCTCTAGGATGGCAGGGAGACTTGTTCTACACTGTACCTGGAGCGCCTAACTCAGGGTCTGGCACATAGGGGGAAACCAATGAACACAGTAACTGCGACAATGAAGAGGAGAATAGAAGAAGAGATAAAACACTGTATCACCCAAGTAACCATTAATAGGAACTCAAAACATCCACCTTCAATCCAACCAGTTCTATAAAATTAGAATAGGGTTTATTTTCTTTTAAAATAGAGTTTATGGCCCTAGCTGGTTTGGCTCAGTGGATAGAGCGTCAGCCTTGCGGACTGAAATGTCTGGGGTTCGATTCCAATCAAGGGCACATGTTTGGGTTGCCTGCTCAGTCCTCAGTAGGGAGCATGCAGGAGGCAGCTGATCAATGATTATCTCTCATCATTGATATTTCTCTCTCTCTCCTTCTCCCTTCTCTCTGAAATCAATAAAAATATATTTAAAAAAATAAAAAGAGTTTATGAAGGTAATACAACTTAAAGCATTTTGAGCTGGCCAGGCAGGAGCTGAAGCACTGCCAAATAATAATAAAGGAAGCTCTGGCCAGTGTGGCTCAGTTGGTTGGAGTGTCATCCTGTACACGGAAAGATGATGGGTTTGATTCCCAGTCAGGCACATATACAGGTTGCAGGTTCGAGCCCCAATTGGAGTGTGTGCGGGAGGCAACAGATTAATGTTTCTCTCTTACATCGATGTTTATCTCTCTCTCTCTATCCCTCCCGATCTCTAAAACCAATAATAATAATAATGAAAAGTTTACCTGCATCCCCCCCAAAAAAAATCTCAAGAAAAGCATCTAATAATATTAAAAATGGTGCAAAAAATGACTATAAGTATATTTAAATATAAGTTTAGAAACTCATACCTGCCAGGAGGTCTGGCTTGGAAAAATCTAGATTATTTTGGGCAATCTTTGTACATTTTGTAAAAGATACATACAAGTGAATACTTTTTAAAAGCAACCACAGCTTTCTGAAAAACTCAGCTGTCCATAGATGAAACTTGCCCTCCCTCCTCCCAAGCTTGAAATATAAGGTACCCAGAAGACTCATACTTCCTTTCTACCATTTCAAGACAATACCATTCTCCAGTTTTCTGTTACCAAAAACATGGATTCGCATTCCCCCACACCAAGTGAAGAATACGTCGTCTTTAGCCACTTAAATTTATTTTTAGGACAATCACAAGGATTTATTGGTATGGTCCTGAGTCACTAGCTTTGATGCAAGTGGAACAGAAGTGATGTGGGCCCAGAAGCAAGCTCAGGTCAACCTAAAAAGCGACCCCACCCAGGAATCCAGACTGTTCAAAGGCACACACACAATTAACACACTTAAGTATAAACTCACCACTGCTCTTTATTCTGATATAACCCTTCTAATTCTACTTGGTATTAAAATATCCTTTCCTTTTATAATAGTATGGTCATAGCAGGTGATGTTCTTTTTGCTTTTTAATTAAACAACCTTACTGAGTCAAATGACTGTCAAGGACACTCAGTTTCCCCAACTTAATTATATGAATTTTACTTTGTGAAATCCCCAAATCTGGAAATAATTAGAGCATTGGTTCTGCCTGCGCCCCCCCGCCCCCATGCCTGGATACATTTGGTTGTCACAATTGGGGAGGAGGGGTCGCTATTGGCATGTAATGGGTAGAGGCCACGGATGCCGCTTGACACCCTCAAGGGCATAGGAGGGCCCCAAATGTCAATAGTGCTGAGGTTGAGAAACCCTGAATTAGTCTAGTTGATGTCCCTAACAATTCTTAATTCAGCCAACCAACACATACCTGGCACCTACTATGTGCCAAGCATTATGCCAAGAGTTGGGGATAAAATAGGAGAGTCAAGCTGGCGAGAGGGCAAGCTAGTCTTCTTTGGTTCACCACCCTGTTTCCGGGGCCTGCCAGGTACTAGAAACCCCCATCCCAAGACACTGGGTGGAGCAAGACAGGTCTTCACCTTGTATATCCAGCAGGATGAGAAGGCGGTAGTCCCAGCTCCTGACAATCCCCGCCATCCAGGCCCCTTCCCTAGACCTGCCCTGACCATCAGACGCAACTGTTACGGTCTCCGAGCCCATGTGACCCCGGGCCTCAGTTTCCCCACCCGGCCAGAGGGTGGCTGCAGGGTCCAACTTGCTCAGGGGACACAAACGCCACCTGCAGAGCTGGCCCTTTCGCCTCCCTGGGTCTCAGTTTCCCCTCCTGGCCACAATGACCCGTCACCGCAGAGGGCCCCGGAGGAGTGAACTTAACGCAAAAACACGGGGGGAAACGGTCGCTGCCGCAACAATAACCTCAAGGAGAGCGCCCTTTGGATGGCAAGGCCCTTCCTCGGGATTGTAACGACCCCACCGGCTGAACATCAGGCTCAAAGAAGCGGCCTGGGGCCGGGAGGCCCGTCTGTCCCCAACCACTGAATC